TAGATTTAATATTATTAATAAGCTTTTTAATTTATTTTATAAAATATGATGTATCAGAAGTGATGATACAGCCTATACTAATTCGTGTAATTGACTACCGTACAGTCTACCTTCACCTTCCATATATTCTTCAATATTTCCTATTCTTATTTCGCTGACCTCACGACCATACTGATCACTGCTTATGTGAAATTTATTTAAACGAGTTAAACTAGTATCAGCCAGGTCTAAATCTATTTTTAAGGTGATGGTATTACCCCAACGAAACCCTTCTACCATTTCATCTAAGTCATTAAATTGAATAAATAGACGATGGATTTTATGGATTTCTCCATTACGTATATTTCCCGTTCTATAATAGAAGGGTTCAACAAAATATCTAGCTAAATTTTTTCTATTTTCTTTGTGAAGAAAATCATCAACTCTTATTTTTCTGATTTCAAAAGTTATTTCGGGCATTATTAATTGCTTAATTTTTGTTAGTTGAAAAAAAAAAACTTTGAATCACTTCTTGTAATAAGTAAAATTGTTATACTATGGTAAAAGCACAAGAATAATTGTAAAGTCGAAAAAAAAAGAAACAATCAATATCCTTTTTAAGAAAGTGGTGGTGCAAAAATTAACTACCCCAACGGCACCCCGAAAAATTTTGAGAAACGTGACCACAAGCCAATCACAGATGAAGATCAGGTGTAACGTAACACGATCAGGAAAATTAAAAACAAACGTTCTTTTTGCTAAAAATTGCCCGTAACTCAAAAATCTGCATATGAAACCATTTTAAGTGCTCTAATAAAAAGTTTTCCTTGAGTGATTTTACTATATATCTTGATAATAATAAATACTAATATAAACATTAAACCTAATATTAATAAGCTTTTAAGACTTTAATTATCGTAGAATATTTTGGGGTGCCGTTGGGGTAGTTGCAAAAATTTGGCAGTCCCGTGATTTTTACCCAATCCGATTGTGCAACATAAAGGAGGAGAATTATTCGTCCCACCAAGAGGAATCGAGTGATACGAAAAATTAATCAGTTCTTTCGAAAAGTTGGGGAACGATCAGGTTTTAAGATGTAGTTATTACGCTATTTTTTCTTTTTTATCTATTCGGATAAGAGGTTAGCGAAGTACAGTAGATAGATGATCCTGAAAATATGGAAACCAACTAAACCAACTACCGTACAGCGTGGACCCCTTTTATAATACCCCTCTCGATTTTCAGAGGCCTAGAATGTAAAGTACCTCGGGTACTAAAGACGAATTAATTGCTTGGGAATGTAAAATACCCTGTTACTAAAGATGGATTAACCCTTATTACTGCGGCACTCATATAGTACAGCTTATACCCCTACGCTGACCATAGTTAAATTGTAAAGTACCCTGGGTACTTTAATCCACGCTGTACGGTAATTCGTGCTAAATTTAACTCAAGATTTTTAAGACTCTGATGAACAATATTCTGGTCGTTTCGATAGCACATAACACTTATCCAAACTGGGCTTTTATTATAGTTATAATACGTACACAAGTTGTCAAGTTGTTTTACGTCGTTGATTCTCATTTTCCCGAAGCCTACCTTCCCGAAATATCATTTCCCAACTCCATAATTCCGATTCCCGACAAGACATGTTTCTGACAGTATATTTTACTGATAGAAATTTTTCCTGAACATTGGTTAAAATTGTGATCAAATAGCAAATTTTAAGAAAATACAGTGTATAGTATAGTATAAATTTTATAATGATACAGAATATACTAAAAAGTGAAAGCTATGACAGAAAATGCCGCGATCGCATGATCCCTGATATATTATCATTATTTTAGTTTTACCCTGATTATTCTAAGCGTATCATATAAAAAAAAGATTATCTTTTTTTTTTTATAAGAATAGTACTGCACAGTATATACACTAGTTAAACAAAAAAGTTGAACATAATAAATTTATGACTTTATTAATGAATTATATAAATCTCGAACAAATAAATGATAACTCCACCTTGCAACGGTAGCTTAGGAAAAAAAAAAAATACAACATTTTATCATAATGTTTCTCCATTCGCTATATTCAATATAAAAAACAAAAACTCAAAATACCCCTTTCCACTATTTACATTAGCATTGTCCATCATTTTTAAGAAGCTAATTTAACCTAAATTATCACTTCACTTTCATATTTTTGCTTAGCAAGTTCCATTAATTCATTAAACTCACCACTCGATTCACACATCGCTCTAAATGTTGATCCTGGGTTTTGCAGTAATATGTATGGTGAATCAAATTCTGCAACCTTGCCTGCATCTTTTAAAAAAGAATAAACATGTCAATCTAAAAACAAGATATCATTACTATAAATTAAAAATTAAAAACAAATTTTACCCATAACTAAAACTTTATCATAGTCAATCACTGTTCTCAACCTATGCGCAATAGTAATGACAGTACTATTCATAAATTCTTCTCTGATAGTATTTTGAATTAAACAATCAGTTTTATAGTCTACACTTGCCGTGGCTTCATCCATTATTATTAATTTCGAATGTCGAACCAACGCTCTAGCCAAAGCTATTAATTGTTGCTGTCCTTGTGAAAAATTACTTCCTTGCTCTCTAACTGGACTTTCTAAATGTAAATCTTGTTTTTTTGATATTGGTATTTCGGCGATTGATAACTGGTGTGAAAATCTTGATTTCTCGTTGTTAATAGAGTAGTCATTGTATTCATCTTCGGTATCACCATTTATTAGGTGAGCTCGACGAAGGGCATTCCATAGCGTTATGTCTTTATATTCGCCGAAGGGGTCTAAGTTACTTCTATTTTCATTGTGAAAAACAAATTAAATCAAGGGTTGAAAGCAGAGATTGACTATCATACAGTACATGTGAATACTATATCATCATACCTTATCGTGCCATTAAATAATACTGGTTCTTGTGGTATTATAGTTATTCTACTTCTAAGATCTTTTAGTCCTATTTTAGTTATATCTATTCCATCAACAATAATTTGCCCTGATTTTGGTTCAATAAGTCTAAAGAATGAAGTTGCCAATGTAGACTTTCCACATCCTAAAATAAATAAAATCATTAAAATCCCAAAGCTAAATACATAAACTATATACATTCATTCCTCTTCAATTTTCTTTTTCTACTTACCAGTTCTTCCAACTATACCTATTTTTTCACAATCTTTTATATGGATTGTAACGCCTTTTATCACTGGTGGATTATCAGGCCCATATTGCATAACCAAATTATTTATAAATATCTCTCCTTTAACAGGCCATTCAGATGATGGTCTATTATCAGGAATTATTGATGCAGGTTCACTTTCGAGATTATCCGTATAATGCGCTAAACGCTCTACTGCATTCATATTTGCTTCCTAATTATAAAACACAAGTGATTATATGAGAACATAAGAAAGCTTAATAAATCTTTACTTCAGTTTTATACAGTAGCAGAAACACTTACCACTTCAGCAAATTGTCTAACACACCAATTAAAGTCCGCTGTAACTTGTGTTGCATAACTAAGAATTAATCCAATAATTGCAGGTTCCACTTGAAATCTTTGTATAACTGCTAATAGACTTGCGCAATAAATCAATGAGGTTGCAATGGTTTCAAGACGAATTCCAAGCCATCTATTGACAGAAAATTGCATAAAGTATGCTCGATTTTCTAAATCCATGTAACGCTCATTGGTACTATATATCACATTAAATTTATTAGTAAATTTATTAGTGGCAATATGATCAATACTGCTAGTATAATTTTGTTCGAAAAATTTCATACCTTATGAATCGTGCTTGTTCTCTATATGCTCTAATTGTTGGTAAACCGGTTAAAGATTCGGAAAAATGAGCGTAAAGTGAAGATCTTAATATTGAGTCGAGGCCTAAAACAAACCATAAGAAAACGTTCTATAATCAGCCAAAAAATACGAATATTTTATATAATATTAAAACTTACGTTTCAATTCACGATTTGTTGCTCTAAAATAAATAGCGGCGCAATAATATAATATAGTAAGTGGTATAAAAGGCAAAAGAAACCATATAAAAACCACGATTATTAGTGCAAAAGTCCCGAAGACGGTCGCTAAAGTGCTGAAAAACATTCGATATGACTCAGTGATCAAATTATCACAGGAATCAATATCTTTGCTGAACCTATAAGAAAAATGATTGAGAGAATTATCATCAGGAATATATTAAAGTGAAGTTAAATAATATATATAATACCGATTTATTATTCGACCTAAAGGTGTCGTTTCAAAGAAATTTATTGGTGTTCTTAGAATTTGTTGAATTGCCTGATTATGCAAGTTTCTAGCAGCGGCAATTCCAGCAAAAGATAGTGTTAAACAGACTAAAACACTGAAAATACTTTCTGCAACACCCCATGCGCAGTAAACCGACATCTATATTCAAAGTTGCAAAAGAATTATAATCATAAACATTACATATCTAACAACATTGTAACGCAAAGCTTACGTATTGTTCGGTCGTTAAGGCAAAATTATTGCTTGTCCAAAATGAAAGCCATAAATTACTTCTAAAAAGTGTAATAAAAAAGATCTTAGGGCATATCCAATTCATGCAGCCTCAAATATTAAAAATATTATACACAAACCCGATATTGCTTCCTTGCATTATTACCAATAAAAATAAAATTAATGGTATCAATACTAAACCACCCGCGGCTCTTATATAAGCTATATAAATCTTGTCAGCAACGGCACCCGTTGTTCTTTCTTCTAACGACATTAATCCTTGTGACGATGCAGATGGAATAGGTGACGCAAACAATTTTTTTTCCGTTGGCTCATCTGTTTCAATATTAATCGTAGTCATCTCATCTTTGGATTCACCATACTCCAATATTAATTTTGCAAAGCTTTTATTAGCATTCATCAACCCTTCATATGTTCCTTGCTCTACAATTTCCCCATCTTCCATACAAATGATATAATCTACTTGGGATAATAGTTGTAATTGATGTGTGACTAAGATTCTTGTTTTTTTTGCAAGTGATCCCTGTATACAATTTGTGAATAGATATTTGCCAACGTGCGCGTCGACAGCCTATTAAATATATTAGAAAATTAGTACTGTGGTAAATAATTAATGAGCATCAATTTTAATGATAAAGATTTACCGATAATGGGTCGTCCAACAAAACAATATCAGCATCAAAATATACAGCTCTTGCAATATTTATGCGTTGCTTTTGTCTAAGTGGTAAAGGTTTTAGCATTTAAAAGTCAAAAGAAAAACCTTTTATATTTTAACATACCCTCCAGAAAGATTAATTCCTTTTTCTCCAATTTCTGTCATATCACCTGCTGGTAGGATCGCTAAATCAGGTTCAAGGCAACAATCCTTTATTACTCGTTGATATTTTTCTTCATCAAATGGTAGTCCAAAAGTTATATTTTCTCTGAGTGTAGCATTTTGTATCCAAGCAGTTTGTGGACAATATCCAACAGTGCCACCAAATATTATTTCTCCACCAACATTTTTCATTTCACCAACCAATGCTGATAATAGTGAAGATTTTCCTGAGCCCACAGAACCCACAATAGCAACAAGGTCTCCACGAGAAATTGTAAAATTAATATCACTAAGATGTAATTGAGGTGTCAATATAGGTGAATGTTCTATACTGTCATCATTAATATCATCATTAGAAATCAAAGAATAAGTAGATAAACTTTCCGTGAATTGATCATTGGGAATTCTTTGAGTACTCTTATCAGAAACAGGAGAACCTTCCCATACGAATTCACCATCTGTTACTTTAATAGCAAATTTATCATTAAAATCAATTTTTGGGGAATATTCTAATTCATCGGCCAATAATATCTCTTGAATACGACCAAGTGAAACCCAAGCATCGGTTGCTACGGCAATAACCATAGGTAAAAGTTTTAGAGGTAAACGAATAATATTAAAGAGTGCCAAGGATGAAAATACTAATTCGGATGTAAGTGTACCACCAGCAAGTACAAATACTACAAAAGAGAGAATACTAGCAAAAACTGGCATTACCTATTTATAAAAAGAGTATATTAATGATAATTACATACGAGCACATTTTAATAATTTTATCAAAGCATACCGATGCAACTCCTGTGACAATCGCGCGAATAATTAATATAACTTTAGTATATCCAAGTTCTTTATTACGGAGTTTATTTAAGGTCTTCAAGAAACTATCTTCCCAAGCATAATATTTTATAACTCGAATTCCTTGTAAAATTTCTTGTGTTAATTTAATACGTTCATCGGTAACCTTTGCTGCTTTACTGCGTGTGGATGCCAATGCCGACATCACTCTTCCTTGTAACGGTCCAGTAATGACTAAAAAACTAAAACCTGCTAATGCTGATGGACCAATGTTAAGTATCAACAACGCGAGTGCTATTGAAAGTTGAAGTGGAGCACTCCATAATAAATGAAAATAAGAACAAAAAAAATCAAGTCTAGTTGTATCTGTTGATATTAAATTTGTAATTCTACCAATAGTAAATGAATTACGAGCTTTACAACTGAGGACCATCGCTTTTCGATAGATAGTAGTAATTAGAATTGTACGTGTCATGAAACCGGTTTGGTCAGTTCTCCAGAGGCACCAAATGCTGAAAAAAGTTGATCCCATTTGCATAAGAAACAGTATTGTTGCAAGGATGAATCCATTAGATATTGGCGGCGCATCTGTATTATTAACGTTAGCATAGAATGAGCTCACCGAGAATATCAAAATTTCCTATGTATGTGTAGTAGTTAAATAGTAAAATACTCGTTAAATTGATTCCTTGTTTGCCACATGTCACGTGCTTCATCTGCAAATTCTCTCGAAAGATGAATAGATTTTACAAAATAGACATTCCATTAAAGAAATGATAATAAGTTCTAAAATACCTGAATTACTAAAGGTGACAAGACCTGTAAGGTATCACCAAAGAATCTAAAGATCCCTGCACACCAAAAATTAAACCCAAGCATCCTATTTAGAGCTTTTATCAATGATGGTTTCTTTCCTTTCTTAGCTTTTTCAACTTCTTTTTTCCATTCAAGTGCAAACTCTTCTACCAACTTTTTTGACAATCTTTTATCATCTAAAATATACAAATCTTCTTTTTGTAATGGTCTCTCATATCCAAGTCGTAAAAGCGCTGATGGCCAATGAAATATTAGTTTAGAAAAGAAATTTGCATTCGCTTCTGGTATTATTTTTTCACAATTTGGTTGTTTTTGTGATTTTTCATCTTTTTTATTTCCAAAGACCATATTATATTATTATTATTATTACTATTATTTTTATTATTCTAATTATGATCAAAAGATGAAGGGAATTATAAGCATAATTCATATGCACGGAAGAGAATAATAAACTATTAGTTACAAAATGTCTGTAATTGTTCTTTTGAAAAGTATGAGTTCTATTGCCTAAGGAAATATGTATGATCGTGTTGGAACTACCGTAGGAAGAGTTTTAACATTGGGATCCATTTTTTGTTTTTGTTAGTACCCGGAAACACGAAATAGCATCGATCTATTGCAATGTTTCAAAACAATATGCCTAAGCCTGGTTTTTTCATTGAAACGTTTAAATTGTGACAACTTTGTTGGCATAAACATAACGAAGAAAATAATTATTTGGAAATAATGCGACAAGTTAAAAACGTCCACTCGTAATTTCGAGCGAAATTTGTATTCAAATGTGGCTTAGTCGATAATATTGATATGTAGTTAAGAATTGTGTCTTTCTTTGGTTCGGTTTAGGTAATTGTTATTCTGAATGAGGATTTATCAGCCACAATAATAGTTAGAATAGTGGCGCGTGGAATATTATTACACGTAACGGTAAATTAAAGAAATTTTAATTATTTGTATGACATTGGTTGGGAGAAAATAATTATTATCTCGTTCTTTTAGTATTTTTAAACTTAATCATATAAGCAACGTATTTATTGCTTGTTCGTTATTTAAGTTTACAGTTTACCAAAAAGATAACAGATATACCCAATTCTTCAAAGGTCTACTTTGATTCGTTTATAGCATGTGTTTATATTTTATTTAAGACTATATATATAATTATAATTTTCTACAACTAACCAATAGAAGCATAAAATTTCTAGGCTAATTCTTTAAGTCTGGATTGTCGGTTATTAGAAATAGATCAACAAGAACCAAAAATTAATTTATGCCATCATCGCAAAATAAAGAAAGTACGGTACCGGGCAGCAAAAAATATCCACTTTTCATAAATAAAATAACTTATAAAAAATCTGTCTTGCAGATTTGTTGCTATTAGTTTAAGTAGAGTTGGAGAAAGAAGACCAGTTAAGGACCGGTCTTTTTAATTGGTTATATGATCCTCGGTCTTCGGTCTTTTAACCAGTTCAGACCGGTTAAGAATAAACTATTAAAATAAAAAAGCTATAAATAAACTTTTAAATCCATTATTGCAAGTAGTGTTTGTAGTCGATTTCACATTAGTCGATAAAATCGGCTTTGTCGACTACAATAGGTTATATATTTATATATATGTTATATTAAAATTTAGGCCAGTTTATACTAGAAGCCGAAAATTTACGAAAAGAAAATCAACGAACATAAAATACGAACAAGGTCGAGACAAAAAATTTGAGAAATCTCCGATAACTTCCGAAGTTTAATCAAATAGAACTTCGAATAATCGACTCTGACTTAGCCGGCTAAGCCG